GGAGCAGGGACACTACTAGGGGCTCCTGGCCTTACTACTAGGAGCAAGGACGCTACTAGGAGGAGCTCATTTCTCAAGTCTTCAGTCGAAGCTCCGAAGCGAAGATCTTCGCGGCATCTCTTCGCGAAGCTCGCTGCTGCAGGATCCCGCTTTGGCACATTGCTTCCGCTGCTTGCAGGAGAGGAAACCAAACGAAGCGGGACTTGTTTCTGGATGCAGCCAAGCTTTCTGCAGATTCGAGCACCTTCATTCATTACTTACAACTCAGGAGACTGCCCTTGGAGCCATGAGTGATGGTGGCTTAAGCTGTGTTATTTGGATGCAGTGATGGCAGTGATGGCATAGATTTTTGCCGCCAGCTGTCATATTGTGTGATTATGTCAAGACTTGTACGCAGAGACAGACCCATTCTCATTACTTTCAGCTGCCAAGTTGCTTCCGTACCTCCTCTTGGCCACCTTAAACTGTGCTTTCGGGCTACTGAGAGTGTCCGCCCGGCTTCAATGCACTTGTTCTCGTTGCTTTAGGAGATAATCATGCTGGAAGTTCGCCCGCATGTGAGCGTGCAGGTACACTTTTGCCACGAAATATGGCACACTTTTACCTTGTTCTGAAAGGCTGCAAACGGATGCTTTACATGCTGTTTTGGCAAGGAACAGACATGTAGACTTGTAGAGAGTCAAGAAGATTGGGATGGTAACACGGTTTTCCTCAGATCTTCCAGAGGTACCTTTTCTGAGAGATCTGAGGATCAAGACTACTATGATTTTCTGTCTGGTCTCATCTAGACTTTGCCCTCATGTCGGCCCAAAGCAGGCCGGTCTGCTATTTGCCAGCATGGGTCTTGTTGAGCTCCCTGAGCCAGTCAGACCCTCGATGTGAAAAGAGATCAACCATGTTTGAACATGCTTCAACTTCATGAGCCAATTGAGCCATCTAAGGTTTGTCGCAAGCTGCCTTTGCTGGAAGGCTCACTTCGTTTTACACAACTCCTGCATGTGGTCTCACGGGCCGTCAGGTTGAAGGAAAGACAGGTCTGGAAAATTAATGTAGACTCTTGATTCTTGATTAAGAAAACCACCCGTGTGAAGAGGTCTTCTATATACAGTAATCCAAAAGGGCGGGTTCACCCAGGCTCAAGACTCTTCGATCCCCTGCCTTCAACCCACCCAAGCATCACACCCGTCCGGTGTGAGCACGGGTTCTTTCCCCGACAACAATTCCATGGTTGTCTTCGCCGGACTACGAGACATTGGCAGTTGTAACGTACAAGCACCGTGCAAGCACCGTGCATCGCGTTCCATGGGGATTTGCATCTTCTGTTGAGTAAACTTGTCTTACTTGAGGTAGCTGTGTGCACAGCGTTCCATTGGGATCTATTGGTTGAACCTTCCAAATTGAACTCGAAAGAGCACTTGCTGATGCACAGCGTTCTGTGGGGTTTTGAACATCAGTGCATTGACTTGTTTGGCTTCCTGAATGCGCGGCGTTCCATGGTGAGCCTCATACCTGACAGACATTGCATTGAGTTTCCCGGATGGGTGTAGAACCTGGAAGGCATCCATTCACCAACGGTCAGATACTACAACTGTCCACCAGTAGTAAATGCCGCCACTTGACTCGCACCACTTCGCCAAAGGCGACATACCATTTCACCTTCGTCAAAGACCTACCACATCACTACCTGTGCTTTGTCTTCCGCAGTCAGTGAAAAGGCATTTCACCCGCTTTCTGCTTTCAGTTGTAGCAACAAACCAGCCACATCTCCAGTTGAAAAAGAAAGCATCGACAATCGTCCAGCACCATTTCACCAACGCACAGCAACTATTGAACAAAAGCACTGCACTTCAGTGGCCGTGGTCACAGTCGTCCGAGACCATTTCAGCTCGGGCAAACATGTAGTCCCTTCACCAAGAGTGCGAGTGCACCACTCTACCGGCCTTTTCAGGTACCTAGTAAAATCAGTGGAAACCTCTGCTTCGACTAAGACCATCCGGAGAAGCAACCGCCATTAAAGGGGTCCTATCACTTGATTTTTTGGACCCCTCCTCAGTCGACGGAAAGGGTGCCCTTTTTCACGTGCTTGACGGCTGCAGTCTTGTTGAAGTTTGTAATGCTGTTTTGAAGGCTTTCAGTGCTGTACCCAATTTACATAACGACTTGTTGTTTTGCTGAACTGCGAGTGATGGGACATGGAGCCTTGTGCGATTGGTGCGGTTGGCAGGTCTACAAGCTGCTGCAGCTACAAACCTTGGAATATCTTCGAGTGGAGCCAGCCAGAGGCGTACTGTACATCTCAATTTGATTGATTCATTTCGTTCCACTCTGATTTCGTACGATGGCAGCTTGCCATTGCCTTCCTTGTCTTCCATCTCGTTGGTGGCAGCTTGCACCCATTTTCCCTCTAACTAGTCACCATCCTCCCGCTTGCTGCCTGCCTATTTGCTTGTCCGAAAATTTTTTTCTTTTCATTTATATATCTGCCTACAGTCGGCCCTTGTCATTGTCACATACCTCAAAGTTAAAGTCCTCTCAGACTCCCAACTTGTTTATTTTGCTCTTTGATGTTGGGAGGGGCTCCAAGAAAGAAGCCGGGCAAGCTTAACCCACATTGGGGGTATCTTTCTTTTCTGTCATTTGTACCGATTCCGTCGGTGAAGGCCTCACGAAACGCCTTAGCACCGCGGCTCTGGACTCGACGCTCGGCTCAGCGGCCACTCGCCGCGGCCACCGGCCAGGGCACTCGACGGAGGATGCTCGTCCGGACGGTCACCACGGCCACCATGGACATCACGGCCATCGACACGCACGGAATGGGCGCCTGGGAGCCCAACCGCAGCGGAGCTCATTGAAGCAGTTTTCTTTCTTTGCTTTTTGGGCTTGTTAAAGCAGAAGTTGGCCGAAGTGAGATCGAACAGACATGAAAAGAATCAGACGCTTCCCAGGTTACAATCTTCCCATCTCCAAACCAAGATCCAATTTCAATGAGTAGCCGTAGCCGATTGACCCAGCTTGCCAGAGCTTTTTCTCACACGGGTGGATGTCTTTGACGTCTTACCGAGGACGTTCATCCCGTCGAGAGAGCCGAGAGGGCGCCCACCTGATTCAGCCATTCCAGGCTGATCGAGTCGTTTAAGGATTTCTGTTTCATGACTACTCAATGGACCAATCGAAAACACTTGCACCTATGTTCTGCTATGTTCCAATCAGTGACTTTTTTGAGAGTGGTATCAGTGCACCTCTTGCCATCCTACCATGCGTAGTTACACCGTTGGGATGCTTTTTCTAGATGAGTATGCTGAGTCACCCCTGACTTTAGTGGCAGGAGCTGTAATTTGTTGATTCCGCTTTTGAGATGTTTTGTTGGAGGGTTTCAAGATGCAAAGAGGTTTCAAACGGAAACACCCCATATATGTCTTTTCAACTTCTTTTCCATTTGTGCATCATCGGTGTGTGTTATTCTTGCTTTAACCCTTATCCTTGGATCCTTTGTGTCCAGTTCTTTTTTCCCATCCAATCGAATCCGTCCATGTTCAGCCTCGTGCGCGAGGGTACTCCGCATCAGCTGGGTGATGCCCGGGGCTCTCGGAGTCGGTCGGTTCACGGAGTGGCGGTCCTCAGGTCAATTCGCAGAGGAAATGAGGTGTGCACTACAGTAGGTAGGTGGACAAAGAACGAGGATTGAGAAGGCCTCACAAGGTAGGTTGACATGCCAAAATCTTCGGATGAACAATGTACTTTCAGTTCATCCTAGGCTCCGGCGAGCACTGCATGAGTCGCACGACTCCAAAGTGCTTTCAGTAGCTCTGTGCTCCAAAAATGTGCTCCAAATAGAGCTTGTAGGGTTCCGACCGGTGTACTGCGTAAGCGAGCCACTGTGAAGAGTTATGAAACCTCATGATGAGAACATCAATATCACAAAGCCTTTGAGACTTCTTTACCCGTGGTTGCTGGTTCTTGGTCAAGTTCCGCTTGCGCCTTGTAGAAAGACTGAGCGTTTCCGGGCTGGACACCCGAAGCTTTCAAAAGGGGCCAGGGGTGTCATTCTATTCGACGGGAAATGGGATTTGGCTGGACATGTGGGAATCCCACTATACAGAGATCGTTGAAATCACTGCGCATGACTGAATCCGTACCCGTTTTGATTTCTCTTGTGCCGTGGAAGCTGCTCACTTTACATAAGTTGAATGACATATGACATACGAGCATTTCTTTGGCCAGCTCGTGTCAAGAGGTTGAGTTGTAGAAAACACGATCCTCAAAGCTTAGTAGTCTTTTGGTCAGATGACATGACATGAGCTCTCGCAACTTTTACAATCCAGCGTTTTCTGCTCGTTTGCAAGTGGATCGGGCGCAAGCAGATGCTTCGGCACTGGCCGCGAGTGACATGAATGGCTTCCAGGAGACTGCACCTGTTTGTTTTTCGATCAAGTGCTCTGATTCTCTGGACTGGCTGTGGGTTTTCCCATCTGGTTTTGCCCACAGTGGCCCATAGTGTAGATCGTGTATTCACACCTGAGAATCCAAATTTGTCTTGTGGCCAGTCAGAGCTGGTCTTGTACCCTCTCCCTCTCCCTCTCCCTCTCCCTCTCCCTCTCCCTCTCCCTCTCCCTCCCTCTCTCTCCCTCTCTCCCTCTCTCCCTCTCTCTCTCTCTCTATAGACACACTTGAGAAGGTTGCTCCGTGGAGCTTGTCACGAAAGCTAGCATGCTAGCTGAGTTCTTCTTTGCTTTAGCAATGTTGTGGTGGGAGGGCTGCGTGCCTTAAAGATTGATATATCAAGCTAACCCCCCCCCCCCCGCGGTTCAACTCCCAGCTGCGCCGTGTAGGGGGTTGGTTGAACGTGTGAACGTGGTTGGTTGGGTGTAACGGTGGCTTGGTGTAAAGGGTGCTGCTGCTGCTGCCGCTCTGCTGCTTGCTGCTGCTGTTTGCTGCTGCCGCTGGTTGCCGCTTTTGTAACTGCTGCTTTGCTACTTGTTGCGGCTTGGTGCTGCTGCTGCTGTTGCTGACGACGCCGCTGCTACTGCTGCTTGCTGCTTGCTGCTGCTGCTTGCTGCTTGCTGCCGGTGGTGCTTGCTGCCGGTGGTGCTGCTGCTGCTGCGGCTTGATGCTGCGCTGCTGCTGCGTGGTGCTGCTGGCTGGCTGCTGGTTGGTGGTTGCTGCTGGCTGCTGGCTGCAGGCGGCTCCTGCTGCTGCTGCTGCTGCTGGCTGCTGCTTGCTGCATAGGACTTGTACTTCACCGTTACAAGTTGTTTACCCCTATTTCTAACCTAATGCATGCATAAGCGGGTGGTAAATTTACCCCCCAGGCTTGCTATAACCATACACCGGCTATTTCCTCAAGACACTCTATTCTTGATACCTTTTACCAGTGCTTATCCTACACTACGGACGCCCTAGTGTATGCACAGTCCTTGTGATGCTTACCCCTCGTTCCGGCTCAAGGCATACATAAGCGGGGGGTAAATTTACCCCCCAGGTTTGCCATAACCATAAGCCGGCTATTTCCTCAAGACACTCTACTCCTTCTACCTTTTACCCGTGCTTATCCTACACTACGGACGCCCTAGTGTATGCACAGTCCTTGTGATGCCAGAAATGCTTACCCCTCTTTCCAGCGCAAGGCATACATAAGCGGGGGGTAAATTTACCCCCCAGATTTGCAATAACCATACACCGGCTATTTCCTCAAGACACTCTATTCCATATACCTTTTACCCGTGCTTCTCCTACACTACGGACGCCCTAGTGTATGTACAGTCCGTATGATGTCAGAAATGCTTACCCCTCTTTCCGACTCAAGGCATACAAAAGCGGAGGGTAAATTTACCCCCCAGATTTGCCGATCACGCATCTTCGTGCCTGCCAACGAGTGCACCCGGGTTGTTCCAATGTACCCTTCCCAGTCAGCGATGTCACATTTACATTCTTTAGCGCAAAGTATGTACATAGCAACCTTCCTCCCAAAACATGTCATCCCTACATGCTTTGCCGGCTATGTAACTAGTACATCCGGTGCGATTCGGCTAGCTTTCGACCTCCCCCCCTGGCCTCAAGTCTTCAGGCTATTCCCGGTGAGCATTAGCACTTTAGTGTTACTGCAAGTTAGACCTTGACGGAAAAAAAAAGTGCAGGGTCCGAGCAACAGTATTGTTGAACAAGAGTGAAGTGATTCAAACAATTGGAAAATTTGCAGGTACGTCCAGCTGGCCAAGCTGGATATCCCATTTCACTGGTAGCTTCGTTGGACACAGTCCCAGTGAAATGCTGTGTCTGGCCGACATCTTGTTTGTCCTGCGTCAATCTCTTTGAAACTTCCTAAGATCCTAGCAACAATCTTTCCCATGGACGACAACTCTTGGGCAACGGATTGAAGGGCGAACAGTTCGGCTTCCATCGACGAAAGCGAAACAAGAATCTGATGTCTACCCAATGTCTTAATCAAAGCTCCACCATATGAAATCACTCCCCCGCTGATTCCACGACGTCCTGAGCTCTTCAACGGTGCATGGCTGGCATCACTGAAGGCAACCAAGTGAGGTCCATCAAACACCTTCGGCTGCAACACTTCTCCTTCAGCTGGAAGATGAACAACCACACACACATATGCTGCAATCATATGCGGCTGTTTAATGCTGTAAAACACACACACACACATGTGGGTGAGTTGTTCTAGAGATCTGGGGTTGACGGTGCAGGGCATCAACGGGCGTGTCATCAGCCAGCAGAGGCGCAGTTCGAGCATCACCTACATCACCTGCGTGAGGATTGACATCCTGAACACTTTCAAAAAAAGGGGGGCGGATTTTGCACATATTTTAAATAGAAATGAAGAAAATAAGAAACAAGGATTTGTCTATGTTTCCTAAGGATTTTGAATACTTAATACTTCTTGTTTGCAGCATCAGAACAGTCATGATCCACAACCTCCACGGCCCCAAACTCATGATAATTGACTGTCGGTCTTGCGACCTGCCGGAAACCAATCGGCCGTCAGTGAAGGATACAGATCGATTCCCGTTTGCAGGCACCGTCACAGATCGCCGCACCCAGGACGGGGAGATGGTTGACAGTTGAGATGAAGAAGGAGTTTTTTTTGAGTAGGCTAAGACGGCTAAGAGGAGGCTGTTGTGTGCTGAGTGCTGAGCTTGATATACTGTAAATTCCTGGTCCATATGGATGCCTGGCCATGACTCAACTGAGTTCTGCCTGTTGCCTGTGCAGACGACTGATCCGTTTCCAGGGCCAGAACCGCACTACTCGAAACACCACGAATCTGCGCACTAGTGCACAATTCCTGGAGACGGAGTTGACCGAGGACCGTTCAATCCAGAATCGCTCGTTCATTGTGTGTAGACCAAAGTTGCACAAGTCTATGTTGTTTACGTGAGCCTTGTGGATGTTCTTTGGCATCAAGGTCCGCAGGCTTTCAGAATCATCTCTGCGTCCAGGAGACCTCTGGTCAGCTAACGAGGAGTCAAGGCTCTGGGAGTGTACAAAAAAGACTGGATTTCATGGACGCCTGAGGCTATGACTTTGCCCTCCCAGCTTCGCCAGGCTTTTGGCGCTGGCTCAAGCGCCTGCGCCGTAGAGTCTACAAAGGCCTTCGGCACGAGGCCGGGAGGGGACCAGGTAAACCATCCTGGGAGAATTGAAGGAAAACGGGTCCGCGTTGAGTGAGGACCCACGCATACTGTACCCTTGCATACCCACACACACACACACACGACACACCGACTGAAAAAGTATTCTTTTGAGACCAAAGTTCGCATTTCATTTCCCGGTGTGCAAGGCACAGATTTGTTTTGCCTACCCAACAACACGGAAGGATACGTAGACTTAGCCTTTGTCTCTTGTTTTTGTGGCAGACTGATGAAACTGATACTTGTTTGTTTCAGTTGTCAGGTGCGGAACTGCTGTGGCAAAACGGTCACGGGGAGAACTATGTACTTTGCGCCTTGGCAGTCTTCGTTCGTTTCTTTTTTTGCTAGGGTTGATGTGCCTTGTGCAATGGGGGGTTGAGTTGCAGCAAGTGCGATTATTCGTGAACTTACCAGTGAGCTTCGTATCTCATGCATTTCGCGGATATTTTGCTGCTCTTTTGGCCTGAATCAAGTCCTGTCATGCCGAGCACGTGATGCGCAGCCGTTCGAGGACACCAGTGCCGGTGGAGGGCTTCTTGTATGAAGAGGACCTCGAAGAAGAGGAGGTCGAGGAAGACGAAGAAGACGAAGGGCTGAAGGGATCAAATTTCAGCGAACGCTATGCTTGGCATTTCGACATGCTTCACGACGAGGCCCGGCTGAAGGCCTTCTGTGAGGCGTTTGATCGGTTACCGCGATCGGTCTTGCAGCATGTGGCCGTGGATATCGGTTGTGGGACTGGGATTCTGGGCTTGTCACTCCTGAAGCAACGGCCTGAGCTTCCCAAGGTGGTGGCTTTTGAAAGTGATCCCGTCCTGGCAGAGGTTGCCCAGGCAAACGCTGTGGAGAATAACTTGGCATCAAAACTGAAGGTGCATGCAGTTCGATCCACCGCCGTGTGTTTTGATCGCCCAGACCGCGCGAAGCTTCTAGTTGCCGAAATCTTGGATGCAGGTCTGCTTGGAGAGGACTGTCTGAGAACTTTGCGGCATGCGTCTGAATCGCTGCTCACGGAGGACTACTGGGCAGTCCCGGCTTCGGCCGATGTCTTTGCCTGTGCTGTGGAGAGTTCCATGTTAACCACTTTCCAAACGGCTGAGACAGCGTGGTGGACTCGTCGAGCCCCAAAAACGGTGCGTGAAGACCAGGGAGACGCCAATCCTCATGATGTGGCCCTAGAGAAGTTGCTGGCGACCGGGAAAGCTCATCTTCTCTCTGATGAGTTCCATGCGCTCTCCTT